TTTTAATCACAAAACTTGAATATATATCATCAAATCGCACGTGTTTATACGCCCGTCATCCGGTGGAGTTATGCCCCTTTTATTGCCAAATAAGGGTATTGTGTAGTAAATGCAATTTGTGTTTATCTTTTTAATAAATTCCTTTCACATTTTGTACGGTAATGCTGGAAGCAATAATGTTCAACATATACAACGTTTTTCTGTCGAGTTTCAACTTTCCGCGTTTTGGCGTATCACACTTGACATAGCAACACTGTACTTCATTTTTGCCGTTAACTTTTCTTCGTTTACACGATAACTCAAACAATTGTTCTCCCATTTTTCTTGAACTGCTTAGTTGTTTCATTACCTGAATGCTTTGAATGGGTTCATGTAAACGTTCTTCGACACAGTTATTTAACTTTTTCATTGCCACATAGCGGCATTCGGTCGAAAATACAAGAACCTTTCGAATTATTTGTTAAATCGTATCAAATTTCGTATGGTATTTCAAAAACCAAACATATCATATGTCACTACTTGCTTACGATATCAATATTCTTCCGAGATTCTGACGGGCGTATCATGTTTCCGCTCGCGTGGCTCTTGTTGTGTTTTTCTCCCAGCGATTTGCTTTACCTTCTCTTACAAGTTAACATCAACTTTCTATTTTCATTCTACAATTGCGTTTCTTTCATCAGCTCCTTGCGATCTATCACCATGTCTAAACGGAGGAACTTGTTCCGCATCATCAGGATCGACTTTCACCTGTAGTTGTGTTAGCGGGTTTACCGGGGATACGTGTGAAACAAACGGTAAGACGTCATGCTACACCTGTATATATTTGTTATTTCCGATATGCATTGTCGATACTATTCACCCGGAATCAAATTCAAATTATATCTTTGATAAATCAGTCGTAAAATATATCAAACACTAATGCAATAAGAGGTAAAATATATCACCAAACAACTCACGCCTAACGAATCTGATTCATCATAATTGTATCATGAAAGATTCTACAAAATTATACCCTGTGACGGGTGAACAATTTTTAGTAACGAGACAAATAATCACCGAGATTGAAATTGCATTGTAGACAGTATGTGATAATATAGCAAGGCAATAGAACAAGTAACCTACTATGAAAGTTTCATCAATGGGTAGAATATCAATTACAATTTATGTATCGTTGATAATATGATAACAGAACATATCAAGTGGTTTTCTATGTAAACATGTCTAAGAAGTAAATGTATGAGCCCTAAGGAAAAGTATCCACTTTTTAGTAAAAGATATTAGAAAAGAACGATATGATAATCCTTCAGAGTAAATGGCATACGAGTCGTGATACATTGCCAAATAAGGGTATTGTGTAGTAAATGCAATTTGTTTTTATCTTTTTAATAAATTCCTTACCCATTTTGTACGGTAATGCTGGAAGCAATAATGTTCAACATATACAACGTTTTTCTGTCGAGTTTCAACTTTCCGCGTTTTGGCGTTTCTCACTTGACATAGCAACACTGTTCTTCATTTTTGCCGTTAACTTCTTCTTCGTTTACACGATAACTCAAACAATTGTTCTCCCATTTTTATTGAACTGCTTAGTTGTTTCATTACCTGAATGCTTTGAATGAGTTCTTAAATTGTGATATGTAAACGTTCTTCGACACAGTTATTTAACTTTTTCATTGCCACATAGCGGCATTCCGTCGAAATGCAAGAACCTTTCGAATTATTTGTTTAATTCTTATCAAATTTAGTATGGTATTTCAAAAACCAAACATATCATATGTCACTACTTGCATCCAATATCAATATTCTTCCGAGAGTCTGACGGGCGTATCATGCTTCCGCTCGCGTGGCTCTTGTTGTTTTATTCCCAAGCGATTTGCTTTACCTTCTCTTACAAGTTCACATTAACTTGCTATTTTCATTCTACAATTGCGTTTCTTTCATCAGCTCCTTGCGATCTATCACCATGTCTAAACGGAGGAACTTGTTCCGCATCATCAGGATCGACTTTCACCTGTAGTTGTGTTAGCGGTTTTACCGGGGATACGTGTGAAACAAACGGTAAGACGTCATGCTAAACCTGTATATATTTGCTATTTCCGATATGCATTGTCGATACTATTCACCAGGAATCAAATTTAAATTATATCTTTGATAAATCAGTCGTCAAATATATCAAACACTAATGCAATAAGAGGTAAAATATATCACCAAACAATTCACGCCTAACGAATTTGATTCATCATAATTGTATCATGAAAGATTCTACAATATTATACCCTGTGACGGGTGAACAATTTTTAGTAACGAGACAAATAATCACCGAGATTGAAATTGCATTGTAGACAGTATGTGATGATATAGCAAGGCAATAGAACAAGTAACCTACTATGAAAGTTTCATCAATGGGTAGAATATCAATTACAATTGATGTATCGTTGATAATATGATAACAGAACATATCAAGTGGTTTTCTATGTAAACATGTCTAAGAAGTAAATGTATGAGCCCTAAGGAAAAGTATCCACTTTTTTGTAAAAGATATTAGAAAAGAACGATATGATATCCTTCTGAGTGAATGGCTTACTAGTCGTGAGAGTCTTCATGTATATACAACTTAAGCTTTTCACTTAACACATAAACTGCTACCTTTAATACCCGTGATTTAAAATTAGAGTGATGAAAACAATAACTTGACGTGTCTATCATTAGCAATAGCCCGTTCAGGCTAGTGATATTCATGTTTAATCACAAAACATGAATATATATCAGCAAATCGCACGTGTTTATACGCCCGTTGTCCGGTGGAGTTATGCCCCTTTTATTGCCAAATAAGGGTACTGTGTAGTAAATGCAATTTGTTTTTATCTTTTTAATAAATTCCTTTCACATTTTGTACGGTGATGCTGGAAGCAATAATGTTCAACATATACAACGTTTTTCTGTCGAGTTTCAACTTTCCGCGTTTTGGCGTTTCTCACTTGACATAGCAGCACTGTTCTTCATTTTTGCCGTTAACTTCTTCTTCGTTTACACGATAACTCAAACAATTGTTCTCCCATTTTTATTGAACTACTTTGTTATTTCATTACCTGAATGCTTTGAATGAGTTCTCAAATTGTGATATGTAAACGTTCTTCGACACAGTTATTTAACTTTTTCATTGCCACATAGCGGCATTCCGTCGAAATGCAAGAACCTTTCGAATTATTTGTTTAACTCTTATCAACTTTAGTATGGTATTTCAAAAACCAAACATATCATATGTCACTACTTGCTTCCGATATCAATATTCTTCCGAGAGTCTGACGTGCGTATCATGCTTCCGCTCGCCGTGCTCTTGTTGTGTTTTTCTCCAGCGATTTGCTTTACCTTCTCTTACAAGATAACATCAGCATGCTATTTTCATTCTACAATTGCGTTTCTTTCATCAGCTCCTTGCGATCTATCACCATGTCTAAACGGAGGAACTTGTTCCGCATCATCAGGATCGACTTTCACCTGTAGTTGTGTTAGCGGGTTTACCGGGGATACGTGTGAAACAATTGGTAAGACGTCATGCTAAACCTGTATATATTTGTTATTTTCGATATGCATTGTCGATACTATTCACCAGGAATCAAATTCAAATTATATCTTTGATACATCAGTCGTAAAATACATCAAACACTAATGCAATAAGAGGTAAATTGTATCACCGTATCAGGATCGACTTTTACCTGTAGTTGTGTTAGCGGGTTTACCGGGGATACGTGTCAAACAAACGTTAAGGCTTTTTATCTACTTACGTTTGTTATGTCTAGAAATGTTCCATGCAGTTTAATTGCCGCCTTTTTCGCCCTTCCTTGTGAATGAGAATTGATCATTACAGCGAACATTTGTTAATAATGTAATACACATAGTAGTTAAATGTGACGGTCTAATTTAATATACGACTAAAATGGATTTCACAGTCGAATGGCGAAAATTTGACTGGACGAAAAGTTACCGGTATACAGTATTTCATCTGGATATACGTTAGACCAGTAGGACTTCATATTCTTCGAATTGTAGAGGCCGTGAAATCTGTTGCGGTAAATGGAGGGCTGATTAATAATAAGCTGATGATACATGGAAACGGTCACGATACCTAATTTATATCCATGTAAACCTTTTTTCCTACGTAATTAAATAAATATTTTCGTCTTAGTGATGTTTTCCCCGGGAACCGTTCCCACATTAGTCGTGGAATATTATAGGAGAACTGGGTCATATCTCTACCCTTAACCACTACGCAAGTATACAATTAGGTCTTAAGCTGCACGTATCTTACGTCATCACCTTATAACATTATCTACAATTGCCGTGTATGAAGAGGCAAATGCACAATCCTGCCTTGCCCTTTGTTCCAAACCTAAAGATGCCAACCTTTGAACGGTTTTGAGCTAAACGCAGACTGCACATTTTCCATTACTCGTTAAAAATACAGGGCGTTGACGTAAAAAGAACCTATATATATTTGTGTAGTTACAGATATGAATATCAAAATTATGATGCAAATTGATTATGCTTGTATGTATTTTTCGTTGATACATTTTCAGTTGTTACGGATACGCTTGTCTGCGGTTTTGAGACAGGCGAAATGGATTGTCCATTTACGAATGCTGCCAACGATGATTATGAATGGGAAGACGAAGAGGTAGGTCTAGCCCTTTTTTATGTTATAAAACAAGTGTGTGCGCATGTTCATATTAAAACACGTAGCTTTGTCGTATTTTTTTTGATAATCATTGACTTACTCGTTTAAGTTCAATTACCATTGATGTCATTGTTCGTTTTCTGGGGTTTTTCTATATTTTTTTTTTTTTTATTTATTTTTTTTGCATTTTCAAATTATGCTTTATTATTGGAAATAACATACAAACTATGAACGAGTTTAATTATAGTAACGAAATTCTTGCAAATTGTTAAGAGTTTCAATATCTTTTGTTTTCATTTCGTGTCATAGCGATTTCAAATCGTTTCAAAGGCCGTGTTAACGAACCAATGTGCAATTCAGGTTTCACCATTTAAAACATGACATCGAGTTCTTTGCACTGAACCTGAGATCGAGTTATAGCAGAAATATTAAGCACCAAATTCTCATTAACGTTTACAGATTAATTTGTTCGAATTAATGTGTCGACAAACATTATGGGTGGAAGCATGCAGGAGTTTTAAATACATTTTGTACTGATAAAAGAATACCCAGATAAACTCAAAGTGGTCAGACAGGTGACTTTAATCCCTTTGATGAAGGAAACCACGTACAGGATGTTAATTTCTCAGTATTTAGTAGCCCATACTACTGCATGATGGTTTGGGTAATGTTGAGTGATAAAACGAAACGAGACTATAATTTCATTTTAACGAATCTTCGACCTGCTAGCAAAAAACGTTAAGTTAATTAATCTCAAGTGAAAAGGAAACGAATCCCAAATCCTTTTTTTATCACAGGTCAAGAAATTCGCTGCGACACTTATCCCACATAACACAAAATCAGCCCCTCTTGGCTATTTTTGTATTGCATGTTTTCATTGTCAAGTCAACACATAGGCTTTAAATATGTGGCGTCTATTCGTGATATATTATATGGATGTCTTCAAATAAGAGCTTGATAATCATATTAAATATATAAACCAATATATATAAAGTCAACATTGTAATATAAGTAACTGTCTGTCTCGTTCGATCAGGGAAGTATAAATAATGGACCTATCGGAGCACAAGAAGGAACTGGATTTATATCTCTAGCCTCTGATGGCACTCGCTCTTTCGGATATGCCATGTTAACGGCTGAACTAGAAACTGGTAAGTTTCTTTATTCTGTATTTCATTTGACAATTTCCCTTCTATTGTCTTTTTGAATTCATATTTACAAAACTTGATTAGTTAAAAAAGCAACTAAGAAAAACTGAGAAATATTTAAAATTGTTTTGTATTTTGGTATGCATCCGAAAATACTTACTGTGCATTTTATATGCGAAGTTCAGTAACTTAAATCATTTACCATATGGAGTATTTGTTTGTTTATTCATTTGTTTTTTATCTGCGTTAGGCTGTAATTATGCATGTACATACCGATGTCATTAAAATAATAGCCTACACTGTGTTATATATATGATGAGATTTTTTTGATTTTTAAATATTCGTTTCTAAAGTGGAAAATAAGGAGCATGTAGCCAATGTTGTTTTATGGCTCCATCGAACAAAGGTCTACAAAACAAAAGCACGACGGCGCCGACGCAATAATTCCACGCTGTCGAATCTCGCACATTCAATCGATTCATTGATCGTTACGGATTTAATTTCTGAATGCAACAAAACATTTAGTTATCTAGGCCAAATACAAATCACGAATAACCTGTCATTTTCTGTGATTTTTCCAAGGTTCTTAAAAATATTATTTATTACGATCCGGAAATGGCTGCCAAGATTGGTTACGTGTAATCACTTACCTCTCCAACTTGACAGATTACCACCACAATCTAATCAGTCGTAGAACTAATGAAGTTATTAGCATTTACTCCTTTTGTCTTAAGGAAAAATTAAAGTGTAGAGGATACCTATCTTAAAATATCTAGTCACAGAAATAAGTTTTGTATGGAGGACAAGGTATGGACTTTTTAAAGCTAATTTGTTATCAATTTGCTTAGCTGCCTTGAAATTTTATTATTTGACATTGTATGGTAGTATTTACCTAAACACGAAATAATTCATTAAGTCAAGTGGCGGGGGAGGTGTTGTAATATAACATCGTATGAAATTCACCACTGATATTTATGGTATCAAAATAATGGATTAGTATGGAGATATAACATTTTGATGATCAATAACTGTCCTTTCCAGGTTTTGATTTTAACTGATAATGGCTAGTTTTAAGCGAATACAATTCATTTAGTTTTTTTGATAATTTGTACTATTTTGTATTTAAATACCAATATCTACTTAAAGGTTTGTAACGCATCTTAGCCTGAAGGACATGTCAACTTGATGACTTTATACATAATTTCTCGAACCATCACCCTCAGAACTCTTGTATTTATTTTAAATGTGTATACCTTGCTTACACTGTAGATCAGACACAAATCTCCCAAGCGTCTCTCGGAAAACGACACATATCCTTACGATTCCACTTGTATCCAATAGTAACACCATTCAACCTATACTTACCACAGTAGTTTACTTGTATACAGTTACAAA